TTTTTTTTATATATATGAATTATTTTTCCAACGAAAAGCATTGATATTAAGCATGAAATTGAAATTTTATCGCGTTTTACTTGCTCTGGAAGCAAACGTTAATAAGTAGTATCTTATGTCGTAAAGATAGACATAGTTGTCAATTTAGGGAAAAAAAAGAAAGGAATAGTATTTATCGATTGTTTTAAATCTATTTTTAGATTTTATAATTAATCTAATGTTATTACTGATCATGTTAAGTTTTGTAAATTTGATTGATCTTAAATTTGCAACGATATACTAGTAAGAGCATGAATATTACTTGCGAGCAAACAAATATGGCGTTATTTTTTCAGCACGAGGAGCAGGTCACTGCTCGCCAATGTTGGGTCGATGCAAAATTACTGAAACTGTATTTCAGACAGGTGTTCGTCGTTTACGATGAATATATATTATACGTATTACCACGCTTTTTCATATGAATTATAAATTACAGAAATGCTGTTTCACACAATATTTTCACATTCTTGTACATTTAAATATGAATGTGCGCGCGCGCGCATGTTCTACATGTTCATTCAGACATATACACATACTTATACGCATTTACAGGGTATTCTGTAAAAGATGGTACAACTGGAAAGAGAGATGATTGGTTGTGTAAAAATAAATTAAAGACCAGTCGTAATGAGATGTTGTTGCTAAAAAGTAGAAAAGAAAAAAAAAATGTTTCTTATACTACTGATGTTTTATGAGTTCGATTTTAATGACATACTCCTCCTCGCATATAATTTAAAGGCAGTTCGAACATAAAATATATGATATCGTGTATATACATATGCATTGTCTAAATAATGCTATAAATATATACATATGTGAAAATATGTATGTATTATATATAATATAATATATATCGATATATAGAAATATGTTCATATATATTATATATATCACGTTATATAATACGTAGGTATATTAATAATGATTAAAGCAGTATATTGCTGTTCTTCATTATGCGATTCTTATACGTGTGTATAAATTCTCTCGAATGCTCCTCTGAAGGTTAACGAGATAAAGAAAAATGACATGTTGAGTGTATTATTGTATAATAATGTTATTGTAACGTGTACATTGTTCGATTTAAGACTATTGTTTGACTGACACTAGTTGAAGTAAGTTTTTATTTTTTAAAAAAATCGAAGCATACGCGAAATCTTTTTTTTTTTTTTTTTTTGTTGCAGATTAACATAATGTCCGTCCAGTTGAAATAGATCGCGTTGTAATAACTTTTTAGTTCCCTGGTAAAAGAAGTTTTCTGTTTGATTTAAGAATTAACATGTAAATATAGAATCTTTCGCAAATTATAAACCTGAAAATTGTATTGTTTTTTGCTCGTAGATTTTTATATTTTCTTTTTCTTTTTCGTTTAATGAAATTCCTAAAATAATTGAATATTTGTATAAAAGACAGAGAAATCAAAATACGAATCGACCTTTTTTTTTTTTTTTATAAATCTAAGCGAATTATGCCTTTTATATCGTTCATTCACATACGTTCGAGTGAGAAATTTTTATTTTTGTATTAAAAACGGCATTTATTTTTTATCAGTGAAAATTACATCTTTTCTTTTTTATGAAAATTAATTTGTCAATTAATTACTTAAATAATCACATATAGTTTGTAGTATTATACTTTAAGTTGAAAATAATAATTTTAGAAGTATCAGTATACATGTAATTATCTTATAGGCTAGTTTTTATAGTAGAATTTTTTGATATACTTATCTTATTTATTTCATTTCTTAAGAATTTTTAATATTTATTGTTAGTTGGTTTGTCGAATTTTACTTCAGTAATCAAATAAATTCACTGACAAAACATATAAATTATACAGGAAACAAATCTGATCATATCTGATATATATGTTTTTAAAGTTTCGTAAAGTCTCGTTTTTATTTTCAACAATTTGATGTTAATTTAAAGAGGAATTTGTCAATCAAATTGAATGGCTTTATGATGTTCTAGTGCTAAAATTGGGAAACGTTAATTTCCTAATATATGTAGGTGTACATTACAACTTACTAATGTTGGCTTAAATGTACATATAAAATTTAAATATAACATCTAATAATAAGTATTTTATTGATACGTCAAATATTTATTTTAATATCAAATAATTTAAGACTTAGAGAATTGACTGTTTTTTTCTTTTAATATGTCATAAAGTAATATATATATTCATTATGTAAAAATTTTAAGTTTCTCACGATTATAAATTATGTTAGTGCAATGTTATTCAAGATTTACTTTTAAATCTTGTTTATTTTTAGTGAAACGAAATTTTTATTTGCCGTTAACATACGTACATTATATGTATATTAAAATTTTATATTTTAACAATAACGTATCATGACAGGTCGCAAAAATATAGAGTAGATCTAGAAATAAATAATAATAAAAGATTCTTTATATTTAAACGAAACGATTACAGAAGCATTGTGAAAGTTAAAGGGAAAAATACTAAAATATGCCAATTACATATATTCGACTTATTATGATATCTTGTTACGATATTATCGCTCGATTCTTTCATGTATTATAATGTCTATGGCTTCTAGTTTGCCTACCTAAAATGAAACTTGTTTCATATCAGCTAACTGAATATAATAAATCACGAAAAATTGATCGGAAATTCGCATGATCGATAATCGTGCACGGATAGACGATTACTTAACGTTTAAATCGAATTAAATTATTCGTAGGTAAAATTTGATCGTCAAATTAAAAACATTTTAACAGATACTTATACTTTTCGTTCATTGTCCAACAACACCTCGGACGTTTCTTGGTTTATCGTTGCAAAAAAAAAAAAAAAAAGAAGGACCAGCTATCCTAATATTCACGGCAAACACGTGTACTCCAAACACACACCGGGTGAGTACAGAAAGTCAGAACGAACTTTCTCTATACGTGGAAACACAGTTTTGCCATGAATGTTGAACGAATTACGTGCCAGCAGGTCTAAAAGGGGGATGAGCGTGCGTGTTTACAGGAACTGTTAGGATTTCGTGCGTTTGAAGTAGCTTCCCTGCAGCGTTCCCTTTATTTCTGCCAAATTGGCTCGTCCTCGTCGTCACGGACCCGTCAAGGTACTTAACTGCAGGTAAACATACCGTAAATCACGAGCCAAGGATGAAAAACGGGTCGACCTTCTCGTAAAATTGCAAGCTTCCATTGTTACACTCTTGCATAGGCTGTCTGCTTCTGTGCAAGGCACGTCCATTGTATCGTTATTCTGCGCTCTTGTTATTACGGCATATAGATATGCATCCTGAATGCTTCTTAATCCTGACAAACGGGAATTTTTTTTTTTTTTTTTTTTTTTTTGGAATCTCATCGAGGTTTATTCGAACCTGTATAAACAGAGAATATTTTGGCTTATTATTTCGAAAAGTTTTTGTAAGGATGAAAATATTTGGCGAAAATATTTGATTCGATCGGTGAAGTTTTCTTCTCAATCGGTATATCTGGTAAAAATAAGTTTCACATTTCGTCAATCGAATCGTTAACGTTCCTAGTCTGTATATTTCTTTATATGAAATTCCTTGGAACTGCAAATCAGTATTAGCGTATGTTCGTTTTATTTGATATTGAAGGACATTTGCGATCAAACGTAAACTCGTTACATTTTCGTTCGCTTTTTATTATTCAGGGATCCGAGGCAATCGGTGGAACGACGTTCGTTAGCGAGAGCACGTTACTGCCCCCAAATGTAGACAAGCTGATTGCCGCCGAATTGATTAAGGAACAATACATTTTACGAAGGTTTCGTCAACGTGTCGATCGCCGAACTTTCGCTGCGCATGTACGAGATACGTGGGTGGAGCTCGAGTAGGCGTCGCGACGCCGGTGGCCGGGCTACCATAGGTACCTATACAAGGGGTGGAAAGATCGATTCAGATATTTTCAAGGAGAAAACGGCTACCATTGCTGCCAGCTTCCATCTTCCGTTCGTGATACGAGATATTCGAATTTTCACATTAGCCTTTGAAGTAGGTACAATACCTTGGTCATTATTATTCTACTGCCTTTTTTTATCCTAAATCATCCCTCTCATTTTTCCAACTCATTTTGTCCAGTTTTTTTAACGGAACGAGAGGACAAATAGTTAAATTCTTTTCGTTAACACGAACTGAACTAAATTAAATTTTTGCTTAACCACGTCTGTGAATGACGCTAATCTTATTCCCGACAGAATGATATCATTTTTTGTAATGTGTCGAATTAACAGACGAGAAAACTAAATTGTGAAACGTCCTTCAAACAGATGAGGTGCTAATAATGCGAGATATTCTGCTTGGTTTTTGATTCAGAAAATTTCGTCATAGTTTGGATAAAATTGGATGAAAATTACTACGTGAAACAAAATAGAATGTCGTGAATTTTATAGAAATCTTACAGAAACTTTTTATTTCTCCTAATTAGATTTTGAAATCAGGAGTTCATAAATATTACAAATATTCCGCATAAATTTACACGAATATCACACACCAATCCATAGTTTTAAAATACCTCGGCGAATTGTTTTATATATCTACCAAGTAATATCATGGGAACTGTTATATTGTGGATGTTTTATACATTTTTTTTATACCATATTTCACATTTTCCACAAATGCATAAACATCCGTAGTCCGATTATAACTGCTTCAGTTTCCCTAAATTACACAAACTTATAAAACTTAGATGAAAAAATATACTAACGAACAATTAAAAAAAAAAAAAAAAAGAATTGGACAAGTCACAACTGTAGTTAACTCCGTTGCGATCTTCCAATTTTCAAACTCCGAATCTTACTCTCAAATGAAACGAATCCGCAACTTATTTATATTATGTAACAATAACGTTGATCGTGCTAGACAACCCTTAGCGTCGACGTGTTCATATAGAAACCCGCGGGAACTTCGATTATCCTGAAAAAATCAAATCCACGTTC